ATATTTAGATCGAAAAAGCTCGCAGTCGAATACCTCCCCCTGGAGCTTGAAGCCATCGTGTTAAATGGAAACTGCATAGATTGTTGCATCGATGGCATCTCCATATTAAGGTCAAAGGGATTTGCAGATGAATACATTCCCCTTGAACTGGACGCGATGTTGCCATACAGATTGTTCGTCGACCCACCTCGGTACATATCGTAAGGAGTTGCGGATGAATGTCTCCCTATTATGGCATTAAATTCATTACACATTACTATCGTCGGGCTTTCAACTTGATCAACTTGTTCAGCCAACCCATAGTGAGAGCTTAATGATTGACCCCGAACAGCACGCACTTGAATAAAATTTGTATACATCTCAATATCGGCGTTTGAATAATTACTTTGAGCTTCAACCATCATTTCAACATCATCATTGTTCAAAAGTTCGAACGTTGTATAAGTTAATGGCAACAATGATGTTGGAAATCTGTACTGCAACGACGATATTCTTCTACTACTTCCAACATGAATCTTTCTCGAAATCTTCGTTATCAGCTCCTCAAGAGTTATGTTACTCTTCAATGATATTTTAACACGCTCGTTTGATACGAAAACAACACCGGTTTCATCTTCTCGAATTTCTCCATCATAATAAACAATAACTGAAAGTCGCGCCATTCTTTGAGTTTAAAAGTACGGCAATATTATATCTGCAAAAAAAACAATTGAAACAATACTGATTAAATAAATAATATATGAACGAAAATATAACACAATAATTTTTTTACACATAAACGTAAATAGTTTAAATAATATAATTTTATATTATTACATGCACCACAAAACTATTTCGATGTATATTCCCGCTTTCTAATTTTATAAACACAGAAATTAATTGACAACAATTAGTATAATATTTTTTCAAATAATCATAATAAGCAATAAGTATAATAAAAAAATTTATCACAAAATTATCTTATAACGAAAACTCGCATGAGCTTCTGAATTAAATATGAGAAGATTGTTGGATTGTTGTATTAATTTTTTTCTAATCGAGAGGAGATGTGAGGAGTTACCCCAGGGAAAAGGTATTTATAGCCGGGAAAAGCCTGCATCGCGCCTTACATAATTATATCAGATAAAGCTAAGGCGCGGCCCCTGTTCCGCGCCTAATAATTGTGTTAAAGGTAAAGCGCGGCCCCTGCCTTGCGCTATACTCCTAGGTGGCCTAAGGCGCGTCCCCGGGGCCGTGCTTTACACACGTGTATACCATGTGAGCATAATGCACGCTTCAGGGGGCGCGTCTTACCCCACGTGATACCAAATCAGCGTAAAGCGCGTTGCAGGGGTCGCGTCTTTCTGCAAAGGGTGTTAGATCGAGAAATATAGTCTGAACGGGTGATATATCGGGAAAATTGCCTGAAGCTTGATAGAAAGATTGATAAAATAAATAATGAGAAAACTTTTTGTGTGGTTTGAAGGTTATATGAGGGGGGTATTTATAGGGGAGTAAGACGGGCGATATTAAAGGAGCATGTGATAATTAAGGGGGACGAACGAACGATTGATCAGTATTAAAGGGGTATTTATGGAAGGCACGTCTCATGATCTTCCCCGTGTCAGAAAAACCCCATGAATGTGCGTTTCATGATCCACGTTTTTCCACGTGGCACGAACTTGGACGGAACTCTAGGATGGTACTCCTCCTGATCCGCTCCTTCCGCACGTTTGCAAGGCGCGTCTCTTGATACACACTTTATTGTCACTTTGTCAGAAAGAGTGTTAGATCAATAATATTTAGAGAAAAGTTACCTGACAAATAATTATTTATTATTAGAGTGATTTTTAAGGTAAAAACAACATGAATTAAGACTAAAATAAAACTTTCAACTTTCTAAGAATAATTGAAATATAATATATTTAAATGCTCAATGATCATTGATCTTCAATCAATTATCGTCATCGTAGTCAATATTGATATTCTTCCTCAGTCTATCATCGTTATCGGCATCAATGATCAACACTGACTCTTGTCTGTCAACTTGTGTTAACCTGTACGCTGTATTAATGCAATTAATTGGTTTGGGCCATTACAAATTGAAAACCTATAGAGTCAGGATTAGACCTCGAGTCAGAATTATTAATTGGAAACTCTGCAACTTGTAAGTAAGAAATTGGAGTCTTAGCAGACCACATATCTGCGCACACAGTTTAGCCGTTACAGTCTGCAAGAGATTCCATTACACCTGGTCATATGCCTTGGACGTATCTAATTTTAGGGACTCGTCTTCTCGTCTGCCTCGTGATCGCCTTTTTATAGAATGTATGCCTTCAGAAGCAACCATCATATTATCTGTTAGGCTTGGCTCGGAATAAATGCACTCTGATACTGTCCGCCCAGTTCCCAGAATTAAAGACAATATCTCGAAGCTGGCAGCACACATGAGAAATTATTTTTATAATAAGAGTTGTCATGACGTTTAAATGAGTTTTACACCGTGTCACGAATTTTAATCCTATTATATATATATAAGTTGGAGTTTGATTAATTATTAATTAATGAGTCAAACTCATCAAGTAAATAGATTAATTAAGAATAGTGCGCATAAAAAATTGATGTTATGGGAAAAGTCTTACAAAAAGAAGGACAGATGTTGAAATATAAGCGGCATGGTGGTGGGATAGATTGAGAGATCGTTGGTGTTAAAAGGTGAAGAATGAAAACTCGTGCTCCTAAAAAAGCACAAGAAAAGGGGGGCAGCTTTTAATTTGAGAAGGGACACTTCAGGGCTGACCTAGTCTCCGGTTTTGCTAAGTTGACACCTCCACCTTTTTTCCGACTGTGACGTCCCATAAACTTGAACATCAATCCTCTACTTTTAAAACCAGCACAGATATTTTTATTCACATTTGATTTGATTCAATTTCAATATATATATATATATATATATATAATTTTGTTCAGATCGATTCTCATGAGAAGAACAAAAATCAATATCAACTCTACCACTGTTTTATTCACACGGTGTGGTGTGGGATTTGCATTGCTTCCATTTGCCCAGACTGCATCTAATCTTAAGATATGTTGAATGCTTTCAATATTATTCCCTTCAAACTCCAAATATATTATTCATGTTTTACCAAATGCTTTAATTGGTTGCTTAAAGGACAACCAACCAACGGGAATTTTGTTCTTATGTACTTCATCCACTCATTTGCTTCATATATAAGGAACGTAAACACTGTTATTTTTTTTCTTTTTTGAAAGGTCAAATATAATATTACATTTACCTTCCATAACTTGACCTTCATGTTCCTAGTTATACATGCAAATGAGGACCCAACGCTGTGCAGAAAAAAAACATTATCCCCTGCAATCAAAGATTAGTAGACATAATAACATATACTTCACCAGCCTCTTCCTTTACCTTTATTCACTTAAATAGATATCCAAATTATATCCCAAGTTAACTTTAGATGCTTAAATTTTTTTGTTAAAAATTATCTGTTACTATATTTTTTCGTTATGCTCTTAGGTGCCTACCATTTAAAAAACTTCTTTAAGTTAGGACACGTGTCATATCTATAATTTTGTTGAATTTTTTTATTTTCTTATAATAATAATAATATTATATTTTAAAACCATTATATATATATATATATATATATATATATATATATATTTAAAAACTAATACCCGGCTTCCCCATCCCAAATTCAACAGTACCAAATGCCCTCCACCCCCAACATTCAGTCCCAGCGTTAAACGACCATTCCCAAATTCAATCCTGCAATGCCTCCCCCGCCCGCATTCAACAAGCCTGATGTGAATGGCGCAAGATCCCCAGCTTTCATGTGTTGCTTATAGAGTCAGGGATTTAGATATGTATGGGTTTAAGTGACGACAAAGACGACGGTCAATTAATAGGTGAGCAGCAATAAGTAACGACAGTGGCTGGAGATGATCAGCAGTGTCAGGAAAGAAGGTTTTGAAATAAAAGATTTTAGGGTTTTGGATTTTTTTATGATTTTAAAGAAATTTAAGTATTTTAAAAAATAATAATAATTTTATTTTTTTTAAATAAAAAATTCTAAAAAATATATATAAACTTGACACATGTTATTTAACGATTTTTTTAACGGTAAACACATAAAAGTTTAACGTAAAAAATATTAGACACTTGTTTTTTGAGAAAAATTCTTTAAGCACGTAAAATCAACTTAAGATATAATTTTAACACTTATTTCTATATCAAGCCAATGCTGAATCAAAGTTTTAAAATTTTTATTTAACTTTTTATCCATCTACACATTTTTTTTAACTTTGCTAAAGCCACCCCGCAATTGGAGTGATGGGCGGAGTGAGGTTGTTAACAGGGATGGCCACAGCCAACAACGTCGTCGTCAACATCCAATCCATTGATTCACAGTTCCAATGAATGAAACAACACATTCATCACCATCCATACCTCTCTCCACACTTCATTTAAAATAATTGAATGGACATTTACATTCATTGTACATGTAAACATTAAAATAAATAAATATTCAAACATTTTAAATCAACACAAAATTTGGTGTACAGCACTTGCAAGAAACATGAGAAGCAGATTACTTTTAAGGTGTAGAAATATATAAATGTTCTGCGCCTGTGGGTGTATAGAAGAAGATAACGAGTGATTTGCAACTAAGGATTCAATTGATTGGTATGGAGATTGCCACAAGCTTGGGTTGATTTGCAACTAACATTTGTCTCTATTTGCGGACACCATATCTTAACCTGAGATACGTTTTAAGCCAATTCATGCTTTAAAAAAATTACTCTCTTCAAAGTTGATAATATAAAATCCAGATATTATAATTACGACTATACTAATTGAGCTAATGTTCAATCTAACTCAGATTTGGGGAAGAGGATTTGAGTTCTTATAATATTGTATATACAAAGAGAAACTAAAACTACACTTGGGAAGGCATTCAGGCAAAGGCAATATGATAATGTTACTGCTAAAGTTGTGTCCTTCACATCTCATACTTTATTTAGAGTTCATTGTTTACACAATCTACTAATAACACATTTTTAGCCTATGTTTTACTATCAATTACTTCGCTCCCTTTCTTTTCTTTGCTTCTCTCTTTTCTCCTTTCCATACACATGATAGATAAAAGATTTCATCTACAGACGACACATAGCAAGATCAGCCCGTGGCAGCTACTCGGTAATTAGCATCTGAATTTCATTCGTCGGCATTGGAAGCTGAAATAACAAACATGGGATGAAAATGAACCACAAGTCAAATCTCAATAGTCCAGAAAGGGACACTCTATATATTGGAGTAAAAAAGAAATGTAGTAATGGATTTATCGGCATTAAGCTGAGTAGTTTACAAGTGATATTTTCTCATGGCCTATGAACACAATAAGTAGTTAAGAAGAAACCAATTAGAGGCATGATTATGATGACATGCTAGATATCTCGAGTTATTAAACGAAGCTACCGCCTTCATCGCAGTATAAACAAGCAGAAAAGAGATCAAATTACAGAATAGAGAAGCAATTGAATCTAGATCAAGGCATGCAGATACATACACACTAGATAGCACACAGCATGACTTTATTGGTGGGTGCTGAGCGTAAAGTATATGTAGATAAATCTTTGTAGCCTACTTAGATAGTGTGTTAAGTTGGTTTTAAGGAATTTTTTACAGCCATTTTTAGCACTTTGTTCATGTCCATTCTGATCTTGCTCCTGCACTACTATTTCGACGTTAAGAACAAAACAAGCACATGCCATGTCAACATTTTTACGTACGCTAAAAAATCTTTGACCATTTTTCCATGATTCAAGGGGCATAATTATGTCATATATCTATTTATCACACGAAGAAACATTCAGGAGCAAAAGAAGTTTCAAGACATCATTCTGGCAATCAAATGGCTTTGTAGATGTGGATGGTCCGACGGTGAAACATATTGTATGGATACAAGGAAAATAAATAATAGGATGAGGATTTTAAATATGATGTCCATTATAATACAGCCCCAGGAAAAAATGACATCTTAAATTCAGATAAAACATTTTCCTTGTATCTTCAGGAATCTAAATAGAAAAAACAATTTTGAATCTTAAATTAGATAGAAGGCACATTTAAACTATGAACCACTGAGCAACAAAAGTTGGATATGGATGATGTATCTACCTTCTATAGGAGCCTCCAGTTAGGGAAAGAGCCACGATGATAGATTCGGGGAAAATATAAATAGTAATAAAAATGGATCAAGGTCTAATTGTTAAGACAAAATTTAAAATTTGGGTGTTAGGATTTCATTTGCTTAAATTTAAAATTGACAGGGATCTAACAAGTATTTAAACGGAGACTATGAGGATATTGCATATTTTGTCTAATATCAAAATCAAGAGGGACCTAAGAAGTGTTTAAACCGAAAAAATGGGAGTCAGCTTGATGTGATTTCCCAAGTTTCTAAACTAATAGAGACCTTAGAAGTAATTAAACCCAAAGGTTTAGGAAGCCAGGGCTTAATGTGCATAGTTTGAAAATCTGGCCTAAGATAAGTTGAATCTAATTTTTTAGAGGGGGAGCCATGGTCCCTCCCACAGTAAACGTGGCTCCATCGCTGCCTCCTGTATACAATAAAATTTGAAACCTAATAATGAAAATTTTGAGGAAAGACTCCAAGGACTAAAACTCTTGAAAATTCACCTCTTGTTAGGGTGTCACGCACACATTTTCATACTGACATGCGACTCTCCAGGTTGGTTGTCAAGTATTGACTCATACCATAGACTATAGTCTATAGTATAAAGAATAAGAGAAACCAACTCATTCAACAAAGTTGCTTTTATTCTTTGCCTACCTCATGTTCCCCCGTACTCTCCTCCATGAGGTAGAGATAGAAAAACTAAAGTTCCCAACAACTTAATTACTCACAAGGAATAAATGCTTACGTGAAAAAAGGGGAATAAATGCTTGTAAAATTGTTATGTACTAAACTGTGTCATTTGGAAGTTGTTTGATGAAACAAAATAGCATTAGCAATGATGAAAAGGGTTAAAGAGGACAATGTGATGATTAGAAATAATGTACCACTCCCCTTTTAACATATGAATGGCCTCTATGTTGCAACGCTATTCACTTATGTTGTAATATCTAGTGTCCAACATCAAATCCGACACATGAATATATGAATATGACCTTCAAGATTCTCAAAGTACACCGTCTCCGAAACCAACACATGAGTCCGTGTTACATAGAATCACCTACAGCTGACCTTACAGAATTTCAAAGGCCAGCTTATTTTTGGGGAAACGAAATTTGTTCTTCTGATTTTCCATGTTTACTTTTACTCTAAATATGATAATTGAAACGATATAAATTCTAATTATAAGGTTGCCGTTATTTTCCAAGTTTTCAGAAAAGCAGATAATCAACTAAAAAGGATTCTAATACCCTTGCTACACGATCAACTAACTACAATAACAAAGGAAATGAATTTAAAAGTAAGTCTTGAAGTTTAGTTGAAACATGCCCAACTACAAGAATCTAGATACAGAAAATTAAGGCAGTAAAAACAAATTCAAAAATCAAAGGAAAAGGGAACGAGAGTACCTGAAGAACTGGTTTCCAAGAATATTCACAAGAGCCCGCAACCCCATCACGGCAAGAATGGACGGTCTTGAATTGGTCAATGTCGAGCTTCTTGTTGATGAATCCAACTTGGAAATAGATGGAATCAGATGGCGGCAAATCGACCTTGATTTCATCCACATCGAGCCACAGGAAGAGCCGCTTCACCTGAATGCCGTTCAAATCAGTAATGGAGCCATAACCCAGTTTTCCAGTGATGGTTTTCTCGTAGTAGACCAAGTAGTCGAATTCGACATAGCAAGGGCTGTCCAGCTTGACAATGAACCTCCCGTCGTCGTGAAGGACGTAGTCAGTGACAGTACTGGGTAAAAGCCCACTGGGGAGACCGTACTTGGGAAGGATCTCCCAGACCGTGGGCGTAGCAGGCTGAGGCTCAAGGCCCCATGTAGATCTGGGGATTGAAAAGAGGAAGATCAGAGCTAAACCCAGATGGGAATTCAAGTCTTTAGTGGCCATGGACGGAAGGTTGGACGAAGATGAAAAGCAATAGAAATTATCAGTGAGGACTTTGATTTTGGCCTCCGTCTCCTGTTCTTCCTTTTTCTAATACAACTTGGTTTGATTTTTATCTTTAAATACTCTTTTTTGGATAAATGAATTTGGTGTTTGTTTCCTTTTTCCTCTTTTGGTTTCAACGCTTGATTTTGAATATAATATGGGGGTTTATCTAATTTTATCAATTAATTTTTTATTTTTATCAAATTTTGTTATTTTATTTTAGAAATTTCTATAGACAAATCAATCCTCCAAATGTGTATTTTAATAATTGTAAAAAAATAGTTATCAATTTCATGAATAATATAATAAAATACTAAAGATCATTTTGATCAAGTTAAATGAACATTTTATATTTAGGATAAATAATATGTATACTTATTAAGTTATAAAGGTAATTCTATTTTGATCATTAAATTATAAATCATATCAATTAAGTCACTAAATTATAAAAATAATTTTAATCAAACCATTATCCATAATATTAAAATAATATGTTATTGATTACAAACTAAATATTAAATTTAGTTGAATGGTTAGCATGTCTTTTTTTTCATGTAGGTCTCACGTTTACATTACAAGTGAAGCACTAATTGCTTGATGGCTATTTACTCTATCATGCCCACAATTAGTGAACTATACAAAACTATTTATTCTATCGGCTGAGCCATTTCCTCTAACCATTATTAAGCTAGGCACAGGCAACACCATGATCAAATCTTAACATTTCCAAGTAAATGAGTGAATAAAATCCAATCGCAGACCTAAAGAAGCATCGACACCCTAGGCAACTCAAATAGAACGTCAGTCTCGTTAACCTTCGATTTCAGTTTGTTAAAACGCATAAAAATATGCGAGAGGCTGGTCTTCATTCTGTGTTTATGTTATTATGACTTCATTTCTTCAAGTACCCATGTTCAACACCCGTTCCGGATGCATATTTGGACATCGGCAGTAGAGACGAGATATAACTATCCAATGACCTTCTAAATACATGGAAAAACTTCGAAAAATTTGAACATACTTACCCAGGATACATACTTGTATCCGACACTCACTTCCAAGTTTGAATAATTTGGTTTTAGTTAGTATCACGCGATGGGTCTTTCACTCCAAAGGCATCAGCTATGCTGAAGGTCAGATTGCTCCTCAGCGATCTGCTTCTTCCGGCCCCCATATCCCCCGTTCTCATCATTTCAGCAAATTGCCCATAGTCTATTCGCCCATCCTGCAATTTTATGTTATCATAGATTCATAAGAACACTCAGAACAAGAAAATAAACTTGACTTTTTTATCCTGGTATGATTCAGTGCTAATCATTCAAACATGGTTATGAATCCAACTAAAATGTACTGAATAAAAAATCAAAGTTGTAATACTAAAACGTACCGAATCGTACAAGGATAAATAATCAATATTGTAATACTAAATGTAATCATAAAAGTAATAATTCATATTTCCAACATAAATATACTCAGACGCATTCATCTCAGCAATAAGATTGTTACGATCATGATGATGATATGTAAATACTATCGCTATATAACTTTTAAAAAGGAAAATATGAATAACTTCAAATTTCTATGTACAATTGACCTTGTATACTTACATTGTCTTGGTCAATTTCTTTGATCATTTCATCTAGATGATCACCACCAAGGCCAAACTCTTTGCAAGCATTTTGAAGTTCATCAATGGTGATGTAACCACTACCATCTTTATCAAAAAAGGTGAAGGCAGCAACTAAGTTCTCCTCTCTCTCGATCTTATTTATGTGCAATGTAGCAGCAAGGAATTCACCATAGTCAATTGTTCCACTGTTATCGATATCAGCCTGCCAAGTTTCCCATGCTGTAATTGTGAGACTCGATCATGTTGTAACACTAGAGAGAACCACAATTAGATTATAGCAAAAAATTAAATTTTCAATAACTCAAAAGGGTATATTTACGGCTTCCATTAAAGACTTGATTTCGGCTTCCGTAAGTTCAGAGCCCACTTTCTTTAAACCATCTTTGAGTTCCTGATATGTAATCGTCCCACTGTTATCTGTATCAATCATTTTGAACAACTCTTTCAAACCACCAATTTCTTCCTCAGATAGTCTCTCTGCTATGACCTGAAAAAAGCATTTCCCCCTCCCCCGATCATAATAGATGTGTCAAACGTACATAAATATCAATAACCCATAGTAACAAACAACAACCAAGCCAAAAAGTCAACTCTCGTAACTGCTGCTTTTTCATTAGTTCCTATTTTGTCAAACAAAACAAAACAAGTTGTTGTGTTCATTGTACAAATATGAAGGGATAAACTTTGAGAAATAAACTATTTTTCTACAACCATGAGTTATAGCATAACAAACTAACCGAAAAGAAAAATAAAAATTTTACAGTTTTACATTTTTCCATCACAAGTAGCGCTCTCTGCCTCTTATAGTTCTCATGAAGCTATTTGACGGTGAATTTATTTCTTGGGTGAAATGATGGTTTGAGGTAGTATTTTATGACAACTCACAAGCCCGGATAAAGTTAACATGCATCAAAGTTTAAGAGATTAGGATCCTAACTTCTATTGCTAACAACTACAACTAAAACAAATGTCTATACCAAGGTTAAAACAAGTTAAATTCCAGACCCAAGCCCCCATCCAACTAACTACCAGCTAGCTAGCTAGCCAGCACCAAAAGTTTGCTTTTCTGGACACTTGCAGCTGATTACAGCCCCAAAATCATTAATTAGATAACAAGTTAACTATCAGATTCTATGGAAGATTTTTCTATAACTAGAGATCATTAGTAAGATGGAGAACAGGAAAATCACATACACGCAGAGCCATGTTTTTAAGTTTGTTCATTGCCGAGAACTTCTTCAAACGTGACAATACAGCAGAATCCAGAGGCTTGTCTGGGGCAACTCTATCATCCACAATCCATGGGTGACCTCATGCATAAATCAATCCACAATTGTGAATTACACACATATGACAAAGATAGGGAACTGTCATTCACCTGCTATAGAAAAGAAATAATAGCATGCATGGCTAGTATTCAAGTAACTTACACAGGACCTCATGGGCAGAAATTCTTTTCTGCGGGTCTCTTTCAAGCATTCTCATTAACAGATCTTTTGCACTGTCAGAGATACTAGGCCATGGCTCTGATACATGATCAACTTTTCCATGTAAAATCTGTCTGAAGATTCCCGAATCAGTTTCTGCAAGAGAATAGGAAAGGTAAGTACACCTTAGGATATGAGAACAAACTAATGGCAGCAACTGTTGCAGGGAGTATGATATTGAAATAAATACCTGCCCAAAATGGGGGAACCCCACTCAACAAGATGTATAGGATAACACCAGCACTCCATATATCGGATTCTGGTCCATAATGCTTCAACAAAACCTCCGGAGCAACATAAAAGGGACTCCCAACAACATCATTAAAACATTGTCCTGGAATGAAAATGGAGAGAAAAAAAAGTAAGCCCCATTGAACATGAAAGAGAACAGCACAGAAAATTATAAGGGAAAGCACTAGTGCATGGTGCACGAGACAAAGATGATTCATACAAGTAGAGCTCATAATAAAGCACAACCAGATAAATTAATTGTGCTATCTTGACATCAGCATAGAGTTTTCCAAGCAATTGGTGATTATTGAACCATCTCCGTTAATGTTGGAGAAGATTTGCACATTATATATTCAATTGAATTAGACAATAAGTCCATTAATTATGGGAAAAAACCGAAACCATAAAATCTTTGTAAAAAAGAATAGACTATGTATAACAAAACATTGTTCCATTCAAATAAAGCAGAACCAACGTTCTACACAATTCACCTTTTTAAAAATAGTGTTTACTTTGAAAATTACATACCAAACATCAAATTCCGAGGGAAATTGATCCTAATAAACAGTACCTCAAGAACATGCAATAAATCGTCACGTTGAAAAATAATTATCCCAATAACTTCAAAGAATCAATTCAATTTTTTAGAAAATAATAACAACAGCAAATAAAAAGAAAACCCCAATCATGGAAGCAACCAATGGCAGATATCAACATCCAATCAGAAAAAGAAACATCAAAACTCCATTTCTCGATTCATATAGAACTACATTATCAATTCAACCCAACAAAATGCCTTTAATTCAGGAGAATCAAGATTAACATACATAAGCAAAACAAAAAAGAAAACTCAAGGAGCAACCTGGTTTATAGAAGACGGAGAAGCCAAAATCTGTAGCCTTGAGAACAGCATCATCGCCAGGAGAATCAAAAAAGAAATTCTCAGGCTTGAGATCTCTATGCATAACCCCAAGAGAATGACAAGCCTCGACGACACCAACAATAGTTTTGAGAAGCTTAGCAGCCTCTTTTTCACTCTAATGACCTTTGGCCACGATCCTATCGAAAAGCTCCCCACCCGCACAAAGCTCCATGACCAAATGAACAAAGACGGCATCTTCGTAAGTTCCCTTGATCTGCACCACGGATGGGTTCTCGGACAAATGATGCATGATCTGGATCTCTCTCCAGACGTCATCGTAATCTTCACGGCAGACGAGCTTGCGCTTGGGGATGGATTTGCAGGCGTAGCGGACACCAGTGACCTTGTGGGTACATATATAGGTGGTGCCAAACTAGCCTTGGCCAAGATTCTTTCCCAAGAAATAGTGGTCCCTTATTCGCTGGGTTTGGTAGGGTAAAACCGTACCCGAGGGCTTCCTGGCTCTTGACGACGATGATGACGTGGCTTTCTTATTCGTTGCCATAAAAATATCTGAGATGGGATCTCTTTCGCGCTCACCTTCTTCGTTCCGGGACACAACGTATTCTTACAATTCCAACCCAATTTACACCGACTCAAGCGCAAACAATGCTCGTATTGCATATTGCGAGTGAAAATAGAAAATACAAAAGCCATCCTTTTAAATAAGTGTTTTGAAATTAAAGAAAAAGGATCACATCACATGTAAAATAGATTTTATGAAAAATAAATTATTTATATAAATTAAATCATGCCATTTGTAGTAAGTAGTTTACGATGTTAATAATTTCATTTTGAATATATAAAAGGTGTTTACTTTATGAAATTACAAGTATTGTTACAAAAGTTTAACGGCGTCTTTAATTAGTGATTTGCATGAGTCGGATTTGGTTTGAATTTTAGTTAATTCGATCCAAAATTTTTAACAGTCAACTTAATTCGATCAAAAAATTTTTACATCCTTTTCCCAATCCGAATCTTATCCTACTTTTTGAGATAAAGTTCAAATACGACCCGACCCGAAATAATATATTTATTAAAAAATATTTTTTTTATTTAATAAAAATATCGATTTAATTAAAAATAATATATAACGGGGTATTATTATAATTATTATTAAATATATAAGGTAAAATTATATTTTTAAGATCATATCAAATCGAATATTTTTTACATTAAACTCGAACCTAACTCGAACATAACCTCATTTTTTTGGTCAACCCGTGTCCATCCCTATCTTTAATATTTGTATTTGTTATTTTTCATTTTTCTAATAAATTTATAAAAATAATACTCAGTTCATTTTTTTTATCTAAATGACATAGAAACTATATTACTTTTTTTAAATAATACTTTTTCTGATTACATAAAATAAAAAGTGTCTAACTGATCGTTTATCATAAGCACTACTTTCTAACATATTAACAATGTGATTAGTAAACAGTTTGATATCATTTAAGTAATGTTTTAAGTTTAAGGTTTTGTATATGTAGAAAATTTTCGCTAGGAGACTCAACCACTAAAATTCAGTGTATGACCCGGGTCGGTCCAGATTACTCAGCGTGAAACCTTGAAAATAAAAGATAAAAAAGCATCTTTACCCTAATGTATTAAATTTTTATTTTTTGATTTGTTCTTTAGTGAAAATGATATTCTCTAAAAACACATATCATTTAATTTTTTTTTGATAAATTCTTAATCTAATCATAATCTTATCTTAAAGGATAAGAAAGAGAGAGACTAGATAAAAAGAAAGAAATAGTGCTTCATGTATATCTAGAACCTTGACCTAAGAGAATATAAATGATTAAAAATAAATAGTTTGATCAACGGTCAAAATGTACTTATTTTATCTTATTTAAACTTTCAGAGACCATAAATAAAATATTTTAAATATTTTAATAAATTTAAATAATATAATCTAATAAAAATCATTTTGATATATATTGAACACATATAATTTAAGTAAATAAGATTTATATGAAAAAAATAGATTATAATATTATTGTAAGATAATATTTATATTCGATTTTAAATTAAAATAAATTGAAATATATTTATATATAATTATTTAAATTGAATTGTTTAAGGAGAAAATGATCTTTTATTATTGATAATGGCTTTGAATTCAAAGTGTTATATATAATTAAAAGAATTTGTTGTGAATTTTTTAATAACAATTTGTAATAAGATAAATTACAAGTAACCTTTTATTATTAAAATTTTACATTGTGAACTCATCGAGTAGCCTTAATAATATAGGAGAATGTTGTCTCTATAAGGTGTGTATGTGTTGTCAATATGTTAAAAGAGTTTTGAAAATATATAATCTTTTAATCACCCTAAACTATTAAAATTTTACATCGTTAATTTTTTAACAGAAGGTGACCAAAACAGAATCAAAACATAATATCAGATATAATTTGAAAAAATAATTGAGTGACCAAAACAAAAATTAAGTAATAGGTAGCTGACCAAATAGATATTTACCCAAGAAAATCATCTGAAGGGCATGCTAGACGCACAACGGATAAGATAAGTCTGTTTCTAAAAGAGGTGAAGGATCACTTCTTGCTTTGGCAGTGGGCGGTGCACCGAAGCAATGGCCTCCTCCGCAACCTTTACAACGTTGGTTCTCTCTTCTTCTTTCGCCACTCAGTGCAACATCTCAAATCATCACCACCAAAATTCTTCTCTTTTTACTCCTCCAAAATCTCCCCTTTTCTCTCTCTCTAAACCCCTTTCTTTGAAGCTCACTTCCCCTTTTCTCTTCCCCAAAACACCCACATTTTCTACCATCCCCAATTCTTCTGAATCCGACGCTGCCGTTGTCGATGTTGAACCCGATAACGTGGAGCCCGATCCCGAACCTGAATCAGAACTCGAAGCAGTGGTAGAGTCAGAACCAGAACCAGAACCAGAACCAGAATCAGCTCAAGTTGTTGAGGCTTCCGAGGAAAAGCCTAAAAGGGAAGAGATTTTCGCTGTTGTTATGGTGAGTCATGGATTTGATTTAGATTATTTTTTTGGATATGGCATTTTATTAGTGTAATTTAGCTACTACCCTGAATGTATTTTTGGTTTTTATGTAGATTTTTGTTTAGTACTAGCAAAATTTCCTTTCCGCTATGTGTTCGATTAATTACTTTGGCTTTGTTTTAGATTGGAGGTCGGCAATACATTGTTTTCCCTGGAAGATATCTCTACACACAGAGGCTGAAAGGTGCAAATGTTAACGATAAGGTTGGTGGTTCTGTTTTTTGCTTCTTAAATCCTCTTCTGGATTCTTAATTACTTCAGGAGATGTTGTCTTTGTTGGGATATTTGAATTTCTTGCACCATCAAGCATGGTTAAAACAAGCTTGCAATCATGATCTAGTTTGTAATGTTGTCGCTATTTCTTGCATTTTTTAGTTACATGGGAACCTTTACACTGGAAGTTACTTAAAGTGCAAAACGTTCTAGTATGCAATTGGTTGCAGAAGCATGCATGGTTATGCATGATCTTCTTGTCACTATTTGGAGGGGGGAAGAAAGGGAAATAACCAAAAATTGTACAAAGTAATTGGAATAAACCTGGGCTTCAATTATTTTGGAGACCTCATGAAATGGTGATAATGTTATCTTCTTCGGTAGATTTACTTTTTGCATTCAAATTTGTTCTGTTTTGTATTTGTTCAATATTTTTGAAGTGATTGCTGGATAGTGCATTCTCCTGGCCAGTGTATCTCCCTACAAGATTAGTCACTTGGCATGCATTTGAATTGACTAGAGGTGGCCCTTGACCATTTTCTTGGTCATGCTTTCCTTTTTCAATCACTCATCTTTGTTAGAATTTAAAGTATTACTCCCTTCTATGACTTCCTTGCTAGCTTCTAGCATTGATATTTTTTCAAATGTAGAGGACTACAGTTGGCTGATACATTTTTTTTTTGGGAAAAACTGGAGTGCTGTTTTTTGAATCAAAGAATTGATTGATTGTCTATTGGTTCATTCATCCATGACATGACAACTTTGGATATTTAGTTTTCTTTGTTTGCAAATAAACGGAGCTAGTTTTAAGCATTTGGGTCTGGTCAATCAAAACTGTTAGCTGTAGGTGAATGAGTTAACACCACCGAGCTTGGTGGCTGGTAAGAAAAAAATGATTTGGACAATAGAAGGAGTCTTTGGACTTAAGTCTCTGTGAATTGCCAAGAAGCTGCAGCAAGCAGTAGATATCTATAGAGCATAATGAAATCTTTTATTGTTTCATTGAAAAAATATGTGAGAACCTGAAAGTTCCGATAACAATAGTCTAAATGATAAATCACACGTTCATTACTTTAATCCCAAAGGTGTCCAACATTGGTGGTTTAGATGATTATCAACCTATTAGCCTAGTAGGAGGGTTGTACAAGATTCTTTCAAAGTGTCTTTCGAGGAGATTAAGAAACTGTATTAGTGATATAATCAGTCCTACACAGTTTGCATTTATCCCAGGCCGTCAAATATTGGATTGTTCTCTTATAGCTAATGAGGGGCTAGACTTTTGGAGGAAAAAAGGACTTAAGGGTTGTGTGTTTAAGCTAGATTTCAGGAAGGCCTATGATACAGTGGACTGGTCTATACTTTTTCTAGTTATGGAGAAAATGGGCTTTGGCACCAAATGGAGTAATTGGATTAGACAGTGTGTTACAACAGCTTCGGTTTCTGTTTTGGTCAATGGGGTCCCTTTTGAGGAATTTCCAATGGCAAAGGGTCTTCGTCAGGGTTGTTCTCATTCCCCATTGCTTTTCAATTTAGTTGGGGAACTTCTAAACCTACTGCTTTTAAAGGCAATCTCTGAAGGGCTGTTTTCTGGTTTGCAAATTGGTAGGAATGAGACTGCTGTTGATTTTTCTCACTTGCAATTTGCAGATGACCTTATAATTTTCTATGGTGCTTCCAAGAAGTAGATTTTAAATGTTAAGAGGGTTCTTAGAGTTTTTGAAATCATGTCTGGACTTCAACTGAACCTAAAGAAAAGTAGATTATTTGGTGTCAATTTGAGTCAAGAGGAGATCGAGGAGTGGGCATGAACTATTGGTTGTGCTGTGGGGTTTTTCCCCTCTGATTTCCTAGGGCTTCCTCTTGGTGCAAAAAGGAATTCTTCATCACTTTGGGATTCGGTTGTTCAAAACTTTTATAACAAACTTGCTGGTTGGAAAGCTGCCACTCTTTCTTTGGTAGGGAGGTTATTTTTGGTCAAGTCGGTTCTTTGCTCTCTTCCAACCAATTATTTGTTGCTATTTAAAATCCCCTCCACGGTTAATTCTAAACTAAATTCCATTATGTCTAAGTTCTTATGGGGAGGTGGATTGGAGAGAAACAAGATTCATTGGGTTAAATGGTCCTTTATGTGCAAGCCTAAGAATGAGGGAGGTTTGGGAGTGCTTAATCTTATCAATATGAACAGAGCCCTTATGGGGAAATGGTCTTGGAGGATTGCTAATGATAGGAATGCTGTTTTGAGGATGTTGATATGCTCTAAATACAATCTTGAATCCTCCTCATTAATATTTAATAGCAAAGTTCCAAATCAAGCTTCTTGGATTTGGAGTTCAATGGTCAATAATCATTTTAAAGAAGACTCATTTGGCTCCAAGTTTCGTAGTATGTGCAGAATTCAAGTGGGTAATGGTGAGTTGATTCGGTTTTGGCAAGATCATTGGGCGATGGACTGTTCGCTCAAGGATTCTTTCCCTAGACTATTTTCTAATTCTTCTAATAAGAGTGACAAATTGGTTGAGTTTGGTGAGTTTAGTTCAGTGGGATGGATTTGGAATCTTCAGATGAGAAGAATTTGGCAGATTGGGAATTTGTACAATGGGCAAATTTGATGTCAATTATTTCGAATTTCTGCTGTCTAAAGAGGCTTCCGATGGACTGATCTGGAAAGGAAATGGGGCTGGTGTCTTCTCAGTTAACTCATGTGTGAAGGTGTGTTCATCAGGTTCCCATGAAGTTCAGTTCTGGAAAAACATTTTGTGGAAAGGTTTGGTGCCTCCTAGAGTAGAGCTATTCATGTGGCAGGTGGTACTTCAAAAGCTGCCAGTGAAGACGAAATTGGTTAAAAGAGGGGTTACGAGTATTGAAGATGTTTCTTGCCCACTTTGTAAATCGGTGGATGAATCTTCTCCTTGTTTATTTTTCTCTTGTTCTATTGTGTGGTTAATTTGGAACAAATTCATGCAGTTTTGGAGTCTAAGTTCGGTTATTCATGAAAATGCACAAACCTTTCTCCTAGCATGGGAAGATTTGAACTCTAAATCTGTTATTTGGAAGTTTATTCCTGGTGCTGTTATTTGGACTATTTGGAAAGTCAGGAATGCCATTGTTTTTGAAGGCAATGAGTTAGACAAGATTGACTTATTTTTCTTAGCAAGATTCAGGCTTGCTTCCTGGTTCTTAGCTAAGTATAAAGATTCTTCTATCTCTAAGGACTTTCTTATCTGTGACCCGTCCATTGGGGATTCTTGTTTCCCCCATAACAATTATATTATCACTTCGATCACTTCGATCCCTTGGTCCCCTCCTCCTAAGGGTTTTATCAAATTGAATGTGGATGCAGCTACCAGTGGGGATTGGAAGAGAAGTGGAATTGCTGGTATTCTAAGAGATGATGCTGGACTTTTTCTTGGTTCTTTCAAGGAGGCTTCAGGTCCGGGTCCACCTACCTTGATGGAGCTAAAGGCTATTCAGAAGGGATTATCTTTTTTTGATTCATTGAAAGGAAGTATTAAGGGTCGGTTGATTATTGAGACTGATTGTAAAATGGCAGTAGATTGGGTTAAGAATGGTGTTATTTGTTCTGAGATGTATGTCTTAATTGTCAGGGATATAGCTGAAAGGCTGAAAGAATTGGAGGGTGTAATTAGATGGGTTGCTAGGATAGCCAATATGGAGGCAGATGCGTTAGCTAAGGCTAGTATAGGCTAATTACAGTGTGGTTTTTAGGGGTATTTTATTTTGGGTCTTTGGGTTCTATGTAAGGGGTTTTTTATGTTGTTTTAAATCTTATGTATCTTTTTCTATTAATGAAGTATAAGGCACCCTTTTCCTCCTTCCTCTGACTAAGGAAATCATTTTGAGTTCCATTAATCATGAAGGGGGTTTTAATGAGGCCTTCAATTCTTATAAAAAAATGATATATCTCTGATATAGTAGTGCTCTACGTATATAAAAAAAGATAAGAACACATAAGTAGCACTTTCCCACCAACCAAGAACTTAATATTTTACAACTGAAGATTATGTGCAACATGAAATATCTCATGCGGTAAGAAGATTGGTGTTATAATAGAGTTGTTATGTTGAATTTTCTTTGTCAATTACCATATTTGTAAATCTTGAGATAGATGAGAAAAAAAATTTGATTTCCTTGTTTTGGCACGACTATGCTGCACTTCTATCGTGTTTTTGAAGTGTCAGAATCATACCACCATGATTCGATTTAAAAAAATCAGTTAAACTCTTTCTATAGTTATGATTTTTAGAAAGAAAAACAATGGATTTTTCTCACTACTACCAAAGTACTCCCATTTCAGCCTGTGGTGGGATTTTTCTAAGTTTGTGGACATTTGTAGTCAAGAGTGATTTTATTTTCCTCTCTTTCGAATACTTACCTTAATATTAAATCAGTTTAAATTTATGTTTGAAGAATAAGGAACATAAATGAACTGCATTTCGTGAATTCGAGCCTGAGTACCTAAATTTTAATAGCATTGGCTACTTGATAGAAAACTGTTGCTTTCATTAACCCTCCAATGGCCAGAGAAGGTGGTGTCTGGCTGTGTTACCAATACCACGTGTATCTGTTCCATCACAAACTCGTGTAAACTTCTCATTCCAGTGTATAGTAATTTCATCACCAGTTTCATAGTCACATTTTGTTGCCTACTTAAAAGCTTGAATTCATTTTGTTTCACAGATTGTTCTAAACAAGGTATTGCTTGTGGGAACAAAAACAACTACATATATTGGAAAACCTGTAGTAACTAATGCAGCTGTACATGCTGTTGTTGAGGAACAGGTATATTATCCCTGATATTGTCTATGTACCATTTTAATTAAATTGGAAAACTTATGTATTCTCCTTTTACTTGCAGGGACTAAACCCAAAAGTTGTTGTCTATAAGTACAAGAAGAAGAAAAATTATAGGAGAAATATTGGACATCGACAGGTACGACACTTTTGGCTTAGCTAATTGATTGGTGAACTAGCTGCTTAAATATTATTAGGATTCTGTTTTCTACAGAAATATAATGTTTTATGTTGAATAAATAAACAGTGGTGGATCCAGAAATATTTTTGAGGGTGGGCACACATGTGTGATGGGTCAATAACACAAAATTATTGACTGGGTGGGCACCATCGGTAAAATTGGTAATAAACCAAAGGAAATTTGGATTTTAGGGTTGGCACGTGCCCACCTTCGGATACATGTGAATCCGCCACTCTAAATAAATATTATGTGATGTTATTCTATTTATTTGCCTTCGGATACATGTGAATCTGCCACTCTAAATAAATATTATATTATGTGATGTTATTCTATTTATTTGCCTTCTACTGCATTCTGAGAAGCAGCCAAATATGGTTAATTCTCGTCATCTAGCTCACCAAACCAAAGCCTTCTTATCCTTTTGATCTTGAGACCTCTTTCTGGTATGTCATTTGCTCATAGCTCTTGGAGCCATGAATTATTAGGCAGACGAGTTTACTTCTATCATCTATTTACCTAATTTAACTATAGCAAAACTAAAGTACTGCCTTCTTATCCCCCTTTCCATATTTTGTTCCCTCTTTTGGCTTTGAGGCCTCTTCTTGAAGCTTACCTTTTTGCAAGTTGCATTCATACCCAACTATTGGAGCCACAAACTTCGAACTGTATGCTAGCATAGCTGCCGAGTCCGATCAGTGTAGTCCTGGATATTTTTACGTTCTTGATATTAGCATATCTTTCTCATAGGTGCTTGATATTGACATATCTTTCTCATAGGTCCTAAATATATAACCTCATCATTTCTCATCTGAACTTGTTCCACAAATACACATCAATTCAAGCTATGCTAAAAGAGCATCAGTGCATGCTTTTCTTCAACTTCGTAATTTTATGATTCTTTTGATGATTTACCATTGCAGCCAAATACTCGGATAAGGATAACAGGCATCACAGGCTACCAAGACTCTCCTGCTGTTACACTCGACTCCTAAAATTCCTTCCTGGGGGATCGGGTTCTACCGGGTGTTAACTTTTGATTGTGCTATGGAGTTCCCTTTCCTCTTCTTGATCATTGTGTACGTATTTCAAGTTGGTTTGTAGCTTGATATAAGTATTAAGAAATCAACATTAATTGTCAAAATGATGTTTTTTTTTGTTTCCAACCAGTTGTATTTTCTTATCCGGAGCCTGCACCTAATGTCCAAATATATTGAAGGAAATGAAAAGATTTCATATTTTAAATGTACAGGCTGGTTTGGTAACTGCAACTCTTTGGGGTTATTTTGGATTCCCAGCAGATTTGTTTGGGTTATCTCATATTCGGATTACATGATATGCTATATAATATTGATATGTAAAACAAATGATTGAAAGTTTGTGTTATTTGAGTAACATGTTCGAGTAACGTGCAATAAAGTGAGATTTTAAAAAAAATTACAGTTGTAATTAGTATGTCCATATGATTACAAATTTAATAAAGGGGCTCAAAATAATTTTTATTTTCCAGAAATATAATTTCCGATAAAATATATTTGTATCTATTTCTCATAAATATAGTTTTTTTCAGTATTAATTAACATTAAAAAAATTAATCGACAGAGAGCATACTCCGAAGCTCCTACTGACTGATCTTTGCCTAGTTTCGTCCATGATAATTGTGGTTATAATTATTTATATCGAATAAACATAGAATAAATCTAGGTAATATCCACTTGGAACGAGACTTAAACTAAGATAATGTTTGATTAACGGGAAAAAAGTTAAATATAGAAAAATATTTTGTCGAAAGGAAATATTGAAGTGATGCATTTAAACTATAAATCTAGTTAGAATTTTTTAAAAAAAAATGAAAAAAATCAAAATATATCTTTACCAACTTTATCCTCATCTTTTTCTTTTGAATGGGTTTCATGAATATTGATAGATTTAAATAGCCAGCGGTATATTGATGTCAGGTTTGGTTGAGTAAAATATATACATATATTTAGATTTTCTATTAAAATTAAAAAAAATATAAAAATGATTAGTTTTAACAAATTTTATATCAACTCGAGTACATCGGGCAAAAATTTTCTGTTTGGTTCCTTCTTTTCTTCCTTGTATTTAACAACAATCTGTCTTATTTTTTTTAAGAGAGTGATGGTTTATTTTTAATAATTTTCAGTTGAATTTCCCGTTCGTCAATTCTATACCGTTATCTTTAATCAAACCTATCGTTCTCATCTTATGTGTATTGTAAATTAGAGAATGATTACCAAAATATCTCGTTGAATTTTACATTTGAACTCCTATTTAATTGGTAAACCCATTTTATACGTGCAAATCGTTATATATTTGACAATTCCATCTAAATATTGGTCAACTTATCTAAGATTAGGAATCAGCTTCCAAAAATTACTTATACCCCTACCCTATAAAATCCCTCTAGCATCGGGAGGAACACATCAATAAATAAATAAATAAATAAAAAGGGGAAGGAGAGAGAGAGAATAACAACTTCATCTATTTTATTATTATAACAATTCTGAGAATGGCCACCACTAAGACTACACTCTTGCTTGCTGTCCTTTGTCTTTTCCTATTATCCGAGGTGTGTCATTTTATGTTTTTCTATTCTCAATTTATGTTCTGTTCATCGTAAACACCCTTTTCTTTTCTTGTGAAACAATTAATCTATTCTTTTTCCCCATACTTTTAGATTGGAATGTTCATGGTTGATGCCCAAGTCCAAAGGCCAGGTAACAGAGTTTGTTAATATTCATATCCGTAAATGTATTTGACATGAATCTATGTATAGATTTAAATTTTACGTGTAACATAACATATAAAATTTAAATCAAAATTGCATTCATGGATGCGAAAAACCCCAGATTGCCAGCCAAAGTGTGCATCGAGGTGCAGCAAGTCATGGAAGCCGAAGATGTGCCTAAAAACATGCACTGCGTGCTGCAACACTTGCGAGGGATGTGTGCCTGCAGGCCCCACTGCTAACAAGGAAGTGTGCCCTTGCTATGCCAAATACAAGAAGGGCAGGTGCCCTTAGAACACACCTCTCTTCCTTTTCTTTCGTGGACTCCCATATGATCATCCCTTGTACAAACAATTTGTCATTAACTCTATACATCTTCCTTCCTCTTAATAAAAAAAAATGCAAGTTTAAGCTTGCTTATTTACTTCTCTGCCTTTTTTTTATCTTGTCAAATCTCAATTAATTTTAACCTTTCCCCCTTTTATTTGAATAATTTAAAGTGATTTCTTAAAAATCATCTCAACCTGAAAATATTCATATTTCATTTAAAAAATAATTATAAATTTGTTTATATTTCGATCTTGAAAAACAAGTTCAATGATTTGTTCACAATACAATTTTTTACTAATATTCTCATCGGAGTACTCACGCGTATTGTCTTAATTCCCGATGCAAATATCCCTAACAACATATCCAAACCTATTAATCTTTGCAATTTATGTACGTAAATGTGTCAAAGATGTTGGTGAATAGATTCCAATCAGTCATCATATATATATGTATAGACAAAACACAATATATTTCTTTTGAAACTTTTTTATTTCAGATAACATCTTAACAACTTTTAAAATTTTACATTCTTTTCAAAATAATAGAATAAGTAGATTTGACTCTTTTGGTGTTAAATTAGATATAAGCAAAGCACATAATCGAATAGAGTGAGTGTTTATCGAGCATGCTTGAGATGTGTGTATTAGTTCTATAATGACACATGTTAATTTGAGATCATGCTCAATAGTATTGAATAAGGAGGTCGGTGAAAGGTTTTTACCTTCTTAAAGACTTCAATAAGATGATCCGTTAAGTTCACACTTATTCTTAATATGTAATGAGAGATTCTCTTCTATCCTTTGGATCGGGCCACAAAAGATTGAATGGTACATGAATGTATAGATATGCATTGTTAGGGACTCGAGAAGCTATACAATGGATGTTTATGCACTTCAAGAGATGTAAGAAGTATGTTAGTCCATTAAAGGATTCGGGGTAAGATGATTCATAGGTATTTATTTTATCGACTTTGGCACATAATGGGTTTGAATATAGTCAATTATTGCATTGGAGTGGAGATCATCATGTGTTAGAGATTAATCATATGTATATATGCATATGGTCTTAATTCTCAAGATGGATATCCTAATAATATCAATCATCTTTATATGTACAGTCGAGACCTTTTATTCCAAATAACATCTAACTAATTTTTGAAATTTTGTATTCTTTTAAAAATAAGAGAATGAGTAGATTTGACTCTTTTACTCTTAAACAAGATATGAGTAAAGTATATGATTAAATAGAGTGAAAGTTTATCGAGTATGCTTTAGAAAATGAAATTTTCAGATGCGTAGATTAATTCTAATTTGAGGTCATGTTTTATAGTATTAAATAGGGAGATCGGTGAAAGGTTTTTACCTTCTTAAAAACTCTGACAAGAAGACCCGTTAAGTCCATACTTATTGTCTATATTATTTAAATTTAACTAATTTGGCATATATCATTTTCTTCTCTATATTATCCAAATTTAATATCTTGTATCATTGTAAAAGAACAACAAACTTAAAATCAATTATGAAATTAATTAAGTAGAAATACTTAATAACAAAAATAAATCAAAGTTTATAAACATTAAAATGAAATGTAATGTAGTTCAACATTATTTACTAGAATTAACAAATCATAAAATTAAAAAATCATCTTAGATGGCGAATTTTTCTTCATATTTTTTAAGTCAATTTTTGAAGTCTTCATATTTCTCTTCATATGTTGCTCCTCTCTTTGTTTCCCTCACTTTTGCTTCGACTTAATTTGAGTAATTTTTTCATCCACCTGGGTCAATTGTTGTTTAAACAATTAACTTCATTAGACGTCTGTGCAAAATGTGAACGCACAAATTATGGTGCTCTAATGCCTTAATCTAAGATCTATAAAGTCGCTGCATTCAGCACCTTAATCTTGAGTCAGAATGAGCTCATATTCATATTTTACGTATTAAATTACTTTAAACTTATGCATTAACTAAGTTATTTATTATAAAATTGACCGGCACCATAGGTGAGAAAGTGGGTGAACCGTAGATGCATGTGTCCCCTCCACATGCTTCAAATTGCAGTGTTGCCTTTCTAAATCTGAAACAATAGAACTGGTGTCTATTGGCAGAGGTAAATGTTGTCCGAAAAACGTTTTGTCAACCAAAGCATAAAATATCTATAAATGTCAAATGAAAGAAAGAAAGCTTGGCACTACAATTTAGTTGTTGCTAACATGTCTCTTGCACCTAGTGATTTTCTTAGGACTCGATAATCCCAAGCATAGTACCTAGAAGCATTATCAAATCTGTCTGTTCGTGATAAGGCACTGGACACATGTTAAAAATATTAAAATTCACAATACACATGCATGCACAGTCTCTCTTTCTCTCTAGGGTACCAGTTAGATAGTAACAAAAATGGGTACATCAAACTTAAAACGAACCATATCTAAGAATCAACTATAGACCACAAACAGATATATCTCTCCCATAGTGGGAAAGTAACACGTGCATTTTTACCAATATCCATGCAGATTTGCTTTATTTCAAGTCATATTCCAAAAGCGATCTTAGTTTTCTCGACAATGAAGATATGTTGGTAATCCTACATAAATTGCCAAATGATCATGATGAAAATAGTAGACTATACTGAGCTTGCTTAGTGGTAAAGTCTCAACAAAATACCATTCTTGAGAGCAATGCATGAAGAGCATGTCCAAACTCATGAAATAGAGTTTCTAGTTCTCCGCAATTTATTGAATATTCGTCGTTGTATGTTCATAGTTTCGACTCTGATTCTAGAAATAATTATATTTAAGTATATTTGATCCCAAAATTTATTGAATATTTTAATAACAATAACAATTAGGGGTGAGCAAAAGAACGGGGAACCTGTTCCGGTTCCGGGTAGCAAAATAAGGACCCTATTGACATCGATTCCAGTTCCGGTTCCCAACATTTTTGAACCGAAACCGATTGGGTACCCGGCTAAAAGAGTTTCCAATACTTGGTACCCTGAAATCGGAACCGGAACCGAAACCTCATAACATTATATTGTCCAAAATATTAGAGCCCAAATTACATTTTGTCATTTATTATTTTCTTACATGTAAGTTTAATACATTTTTATTACAAATTGGGGGCATATTGTAAAAACTTATTTGTCTTTGTACTAGGAGTCAGGAGAGCATCAAGGGCATCACCGCATCAAAATTTGAGAATGGAGCAAAAATTGCGTTGGAATTGTAAATATTGTGTAATATCTTTTAGTTGTAAAAGATAATTGATTTGGACTTTTTGCGACTTTATGCGTTTTGTGACCTATACTTTTGAATTTGGATTAAACTTGTTGTAATTGATTTCTAACTTTGCGTTTTCGTAATATGTACTTTGGGTTAGTGTTTTTATTACTATTTAAGTATGAAATGATAGATAAATTACGTATAGAAAAGAGTTCTACTTGTGATAAGTAGTAGCATTTTAGTTTAATAAATTAACAAGTTATAAAAGGGCCAATTTTAACGTGGAGGCGGCATACCATCCCACTTAATGTGTAACAATTAACAGGTTGAATGAGAAAGCTGTCAAAATAACAGGGTACCTGGAACCGGTACCTGGAACCGGTACCGGTACCTACAGGTTCCGGTTCCCAATTTCTAGGGACCGGTTGAACAGGTTCCGGTTCCGGTTCCCATTTTTTAGGAACCGGTGCAACAGGTTCCGATTCCAGTTCCGGCTCCCAAAAAAATAAGCGGGTACCCGGTGTTGCTCACCCCTAATAACAATCGAATTACGCTTAATCTGACTATCTTATTTAAAATGTAGTTTAATTCAAGTGAAGCTATGTCATTTTTGTATGTGGTTTAAGTTAGAGAATGATTTAAAAAAAAAAATCTTATTAGATTTAACATTGGAACTTCCAATTAGTTGGTACATACAAAACATTATATATTTGACAACTTCCCCTAAAAGAATGGCCAACTTATCTAAGATTAGAAATTAGCTTCTAAAAATTACTTCTTCTCTATCCTATAAAATCACTCTAGCATTGGAAGGAACCAAAACACACATCAATAAAAATATAATAAAGGAAAAGTATAGAGAGAGAATAAAGTCTTCCTTCTATTTTGTTATTTGCCTTATTACAAGTTTGAGAATGGCCATCACCAAGACTACACTTTCGCTTGCTGTTCTTTGTCTTCTTCTTGTATCCGAGGTGTGTAATTTTCTGGTTTTTATGATCAATTCCTGCGATGTTCTTAATAAACTTTCTTTTATTTTCTTGAGAAACAATTAATCATTTCTTTTCTCCATAATTTTCAGATTGGGATGTTCGTGGCTGAAGCCAATGTTGATAGACCAGGTAACAAAACTTACCAATACTCGTATTCGTACATGTGTTCGACATAAATCTTACATTAACGTACGGATTTTAATTCGAGATGTAACGTTGATATATAAATTTTAAATCAAAATTAAGTATTAATGATGAATATATTGATGGAAAAAAAAACCCAGATTGCGGGCCAAAGTGTGCATCGAGATGCAGCAAGTCATGGAAACCGAAGATTTGCCTAAAAACATGCACTGCATGCTGCAACACCTGCGCCGGATGTGTGCCTGCTGGCCCTACTGCTAACAAGGCAGTGTGCCCTTGCTATGCCAAATACAAGAATGGCAAATGTCCTTGAACACACTTCTCTCATGGACTCCAATATGATTATGATCACTTGTAGAACAAATTTTGTATTTAACTCTGTTTATCTTCATTCCTTCTGAATAAAAATGCAAGTTTAAGCTTGCTTATTTATTTCTCTGCCTTTTATTTAATATCAACTAATTTTAACTTTTCGCTCTTTATTTGAATAATTTAAAGTTGATAAACAAATAATAAAAAAAAAATTTACGTTTTGTTTGAACAGAGTAGCCTATTGATCACTTTAAAACATTCTAATCCATCTACGATTGTGAAATGGTCTCCTCTTAACGAGAACGAGTCGCGCAACGAGTCTTCTTAATGAACACGAGTCGAGAAAAAAATTTAATGAGCTTAACGAGCAATGAGTCGAGTTAAGCAATAAAATTTTTTAACTAGCATGAGTCGAGTACTGCCCAACTCGCTATCGACTGTTCGGTAAGCACCCCTATCTGCGATAGTGAAATGGTCTCCTCTCACCACTTAGGCGGCTTTCAGCACGTTTTTCTATTAGAATGATTCTAAAACAATCGTCACCAAAAATTCTCTCCCACAAATAAGACTATTCTGATGCGAAAGTTTAGTCAAAATGCTTCATTAACTCCCCTTTTTGGTTTCACCACCACAAGCAGGAATTGGGTAGCGCACATGCGATGGCATTGCAAGATCTGAATAATGTAGCATTGGGTGGAGGATATTCCCCCAAGGGCGTTTCATCTTGCTGCTTCTCATCGTAGTTTTAAATTGCATTACGGTGTAACGGTTACAAATGTTGCGAACGTTACGACGTGATTTGATTTTTTAAAAAATAATTATACTTTTATGTTACGGATGTGGTTTAAGATGTCATAATAACCTTGAAAAACGTTACGATGTAACTGTCATATTACATTACAATCATATTTTAATACTATGTTTCTTATCGTTAGCTTCTCGAACTACAATGACCACATGTCTTTCTGTGTGTATAGGTTTTAGGATCATTTCTTTCGGATGAGCCCGATCACTCCCTCTGGATCATTTCTTATCGTGTTTCACTTTGATGTCAATACAATAACAAATCTATATTTTGACTTCTAAAAAAAATCATTCAACTTTGGTTCCTCAGAAGGGCTAATTGACTTCATCCTTATCCATAATTCCGACCTTTAAAGTGAAGGAAATTATGTTTAAATTCATTTAAGTTTAAAGTATCTTAAATTTTATAATAAAAATAAAACAATAGAGAGATGTTCAATTCCAAGGGCGGATGTACATGGTTCACTAGTCGAGCCATTGCATACATATTATTTTGAGAAAAATATTAAATTTAGTTTAATTTTTAATGGAAATGGAAAAAAAGAAAAAAATTTGTATACTCAAAATATTTATAAAATAGAGTATTAAAATTTTAGACCTCAATTTTTATTTTTCAGATCCTCCGTCCGTTAATCTTATCTAAAATTTGGTCTCATTCAACTTAAACTATTATTCTTGTTGCGGAAGACGGCTATCGGATAGAGCAAAATCGCAACTGATAATTTGAGAAAATAAAAATGAAGATAAAAGAGACACAAAATTTACGTGGAAAACCCCTAAAATTTTAGGGTAAAAACCACGGGCAACGGTAGAAGAATTTCACTATGAGAAAATAGGAATTACAACCTCTCTCGATCTACCAAGGAGAAAACAATGATAATTCTCTCTAGATAAAAAGGAGAAAACAACTCTCAATAAACTCTCTAAAATCTCTCTAGTATTAGAAGAAAGCTAGAATGCTTTGGGATGGTTTTGAAGCTAAATGAGCTAGGGTATTTATAGTTGAAACTAAAGGACTAATCTTATAAATACCCTAAAAGTACAATGACTAAATTAACATTTTTACCATTTGAAAATTCAACATTTTCAAGCTTAATAATTTTGATAGCCGCCCATGTCATAGCCGCCCATGTTTTGTTTCCTTTCAATAATCTCCCACTTGAAGATTTGATTGGAACAATCATATCTTCACATCATTCTTTCTACCTTGTACCTTCATGTTGCTTACGTCTCTGATAGGCCACAAGAGGATCGACACCAAGTAAATTTGTCGGCATTGATCGCATTCGTCATGAAATCTGCTATGTTGTCTTTGGTATGGATCTTCTGTATATCTACTGTCCCTTCTTCCACCTTTTCACGAATGAAATGGTATTGAACTCGTATGTGCTTTGTCCTTGAAAGAAATGCTGGATTCCTTGCTAAATGCAAGGCGCTTTGACTATCACAAAACAGAGAGACATACTCTTGATTGTGCCCAAGCTCCTCCAATAGCATCTTCAACCAAATTGCTTCTTTACTGGCTTGTGTAGCTGCTACATATTCTGCCTCTGTGGTGGATGTAGCCACAACTGACTGTAATTTTGAAACCCAGCTTACAGCTCCACCAGCAATTTTGAACACATATCCTGTTGTAGATTTGCTTTTATCCAAATCCCCTGCATAGTCAGAATCTACATAACCATTTATTAGTAAGTTTGATCCTTCGTAACATAATGCAACATTTGAGGTCCCTTTGATGTATCTCAGGATCCTCTTTACTGTATTCCAATGCTCTTTGCCTGGATTCGCCATGTACCGACTAACCACTCCCACTGCTTGTGCAATGTCTGGTCTTGTGCATATCATAGCGAACATTAAACTTCCCACTGCTGATGCATACGGTACTCGAGACATCTCCATCCTCTCTTCTTCACTGCTAGGACTCATACTGGAGGATAATTTGAAGTTAATAGGAAGAGGGGTAGAAATTGGCTTATAATCTTGCATGCTAAATCGTGACAAGATTTTCTTCAAGTAATTCTTTTGTGAAAGCCAAATCTTCCTATTACTTCTGTCTCGGTGAATTTGCATCCCTAGAATCTTGTTTGCTGATCCCAAGTCCTTCATTTCAAATTCCCTAGCCAGTTGTGCCTTCAATTCTTCAATATGATCTTTGTTGGGTTCTGCAACCAACATGTCATCCACATACAACAACAATATAACAAAATCGTTATTACCAAACCTCTTGAAATAAGCGCAGGGGTCTGCATTAAGTCTGTTGTATCCAAGGCACATTATGAAGGAATCAAATCTCTTATACCAACACCTCGGCGCCTGCTTTAGACCGTATAGAGATTTGTTCAACCTGCAAACCAAGTTCTTCTTTTCTTTTTCTTCAAAACCTTCAGGCTGGAGCATGTAAATCTCTTCTTCAAGATTTCCATGAAGAAAAGCTGTTTTAACATCTAGCTGCTCTAGATGTAAGTTCAATGTAGCACACATTGCCAAAACTACTCGAACTGTTGTTAGTCGAACCACAGGAGAAAATATTTCATTGAAATCAATACCTTCTTTTTGAGCATATCCTTTGACCACCAGTCTTGCACGATACCTCTCCACTTGATCATCACCATTTCGCTTGATTTTGAAGACCCATTTGTTACCAATTGGCTTCCTTCCTTGTGGTAGTGGCACAAGGTCCCATGTATTATTTTTATGAAGGGCTTCGATTTCTTCTTGCATCACCACCATCCACAGTGAAGCATCTGAGCTGTTTATTACCTCCTGGTATGTTGATGGCTCACCGTCCTCTGTTAAAAGGCAGTATGCAATAGTACCTTCTATAACATAATCTGAGTGCCAATTGGGACGCCTTCTCATACGATCTGATTGACGAGTTGTTGGAGCTTCAGAACTCTCTGGTTCTTGTTCATCATGTGCTGGTTCTGCTTCAGAAGAATCTCCTTGTTCAACCTCCTTTTCCACATGTATCTGTGTAGTCTCTGACTTTTCAGTGCTATCATTATCTTCTTTTCTTTGTAGTTTATCTTCTACAAAGATAACATCCCTGCTGATGATCACTTTGCGGGCAGTGGGATCCCACAAGCGATACCCCTTGACTCCATCAGCATACCCCAAGAATTTGCATTTCCTGGATTTTGGATCCAGCTTTGAGATTTCTTGGGAGTTGTACATCACGTACACAATACTTCCAAATACATGGAGGTTTGAATAATCAACTGGTTTACCAGTCCACATCACCATTGGTGTCTTCAGCTCTATTGCAGTTGATGGAGCTCGATTCACCAAATAACAGGCGGTATTGACTGCTTCTGCCCAGAATGATTTTTCTAGGCCTGCATCCCTCAACATTGCTCTTGTTCTTTCTAACAAGGTTCTGTTCATCCGCTCTGCCACTCCATTTTGTTGAGGAGTGTTCGCCACTGTGAACTGTCTTTTGATGCCTTCTTTCCTGCAAAAGTCATCAAATTCTTCGCTTGTGTATTCTCCTCCATTATCTGTTCTGAAACACTTGATCTTATTTCCAGAATCAAGTTCCACCCGCGCTTTGAAGTTTTTGAAAGTGGAAAACACATCTGACTTCTTCTTAATAGGGTACACCCAACATCTCCTGGAGTAGTCATCAATAAATGAGATAAAGTATTTTGCTCCGCCTAGGGATGTAACTGGTGCTTGCCATACGTCAGAGTGAACCAATTCTAGAACACTTTTGCCTCTAGAATTTGATGTGTTGAATTTCAACCGGTGATGCTTACTTGTTAGGCAATGCTCACACAAAGGAAGTGATACCTTTGTTAAGCCTGGAAGTAGCTTTTGCTCCGTAAGGACTTTTATTCCTTGTTCTGACATGAGTCCAAGTTTTTGATGCCATAGCATTGCCGAATCTGAACTACATGAGGCAATAGAGGCTTCTGCTTCTACCAAAGTCTCTCCCTTCAGCATGTACAAGTTTGCAGCTATTTTTTCGCCTTTCAGCACCACAAGCGCTCCACGGAACACCTTCATGATTCCTTTTTGTGTTTCAATCTTGCTTGCATTATTATCTAACAATCCGTAGGATAATAAATTTTTCTTCAGGCCTTTCACGTGCCGCACATCTCGAACAACTTTAATTGTTTCGTCATACATCTTCAATTTGATGGTTCCCACGCCAACGATCTCTAAGGCATGATCATTGCAACTATAAACAGATCCTCCTGAGATAGGTTCATAATGATGGAACCATTCTCTTATTGAGGTCATGTGATATGTTACTCCTGAATCAATGAGCCATATATCTGCAAATCGTTTTCTTCCTTCCACGGTGGTTGACGCTTCACAGCATAGAGCATCTCCATCATCTGAAGTGTTTGCGGTATTGCCTTGTGGATTGGAGTTTTTATTTAGACTCCAATAATCCTTCTTCAAGTGACCCTTCTTTCCACAATTGTAACACTTTAAATTCTTCTTGCTCCTCGACTTCGATCTACCATGTTTGTGACTGCTGCTTTGGCCACGTTCTGTTGATCTCCCTCTCATCATTGTCATCGTTGTCAACGCTTCTGCTTGTTGCAGATTTACTTGTCTGTCTTCCTTGTTCTTGCGCCGATTTTCTTCTTGTAGAATAGCAGCTGCAACATCATCAAAGACTAGACCAGTGACATTACTGTTTGTCAAGTTGATGATGAGTTGATCATACGAATCCGGTAGACTTTGAAATAGAAGTTCAACACTTTCTTGTTCTCCTATTTTACAACTTAAGGATGTAAGCTGAGAAAATAAAGTATTCAGTGTATTTAAGTGCTCCGTCACTGAAGTAGATTATGGCATACGGAGAGTGTACAATTTTCTCTTAAGGAACATTTTATTGTGCAGCGATGTGGCCTCGTACAATTTGGTGAGATGGTCTCATATCTCCTTAGCTGTCTTCTTCTCCTCGATACTTGACAATACTTCATCTGCTAATGCTAGATGAAAGTTTGCCATAGCATTCCCGTCCATTTCGATCCATTTGTTGTCATCTGTGAAATATATCGGCCTTTCACTAATAGCTGCTAGACACCCGTCTTTCCTCAGGATGGCCTTCATCTTCAATTTCCACAATGAGAAATTTCTCCCATTGAATTTTTCAATATCAAATTTCGTTGCCATATCTTCAATTACGGATAGCTCTCACTATTTCACTAGCGTGAATAGTTCTCTGGAACCTTCAAAGAATAGGTAATACCTTCTTACTTTCTTATGTTGGAGGATCCACCTTTTGGTGGCAACCACAAAGACAATAAGCAGATATTACACACTCTAATCTAGCTCGGATACCAATTGTTGCGGAAGACGGCTATCGGATAGAGCAAAATCGCAACTGATAATTTGAGAAAATAAAAATGAAGATAAAAGAGACACAAAATTTACGTGGAAAACCCCTAAAATTTTAGGGTAAAAACCACGGGCAACGGTAGAAGAATTTCACTATGAGAAAATAGGAATTACAACCTCTCTCGATCTACCAAGGAGAAAACAATGATAATTCTCTCTGGATAAAAAGGAGAAAACAACTCTCAAGAAACTCTCTAAAATCTCTCTAGTATTAGAAGAAAGCTAGAATGCTTTGGGATGGTTTTGAAGCTAAATGAGCTAGGGTATTTATAGTTGAAACTAAAGGACTAATCTTGTAAATACTCTAAAAGTACAATGACTAAATTAACATTTTTACCATTTGAAAATTCAACATTTTCAAGCTTAATAATTTTGATAGCCGTCCATGTCATAGCCGCCCATGTTTTGTTTCCTTTCAACAATTCTCGTATATTTTAAATTAGAGAATGATTATCAAAATATCTTGTTGAATTTTACATTTGAACTCCTATTTAATTGGTAAACCCATTTTATACGTGCAAATCGTTATATATTTGACAATTCCATCTAAAAATTGGTCAACTTATCTAAGATTAGGAATCAGCTTCCAAAATTACTTATACCTCTATCCTATAAAATCCCTCTAGCATCGGACGGAACACATCAATAAATAAATAAATAAAAAGGGGAAGGAGAGGAAGAGAACAACAACTGCATCTATTTTATTATTATAACAATTCTGAGAATGGCCACCACTAAGACTACACTCTTGCTTGCTGTCCTTTGTCTTTTCCTATTATCCGAGGTGTGTGACTTTATATTTTTCTATTCTCAAGCTATGTGAAGTTCATCGTAAACTTCCTTTTATTTTCTTGTGAAACGATTAATCTATTCTTTTTCCCCATACTTTTAGATTGGAATGTTCATGGTTGATGCCCAAGTCCAAAGGCCAGGTAACATAGTTTGTTAATATTCATATCCGTAAATGTATTTGACATGAATCTATGTATAGATTTAAATTTGACGTGTAACATAACACATAAAATTTAAATCAAAATTGCATTTATGGATGCGAAAAACCCCAGATTGCCAGCCAAAGTGTGCATCGAGGTGCAGCAAGTCATGGAAGCCGAAGATGTGCCTAAAAACATGCACTGCGTGCTGCAACACTTGCGAGGGGTGTGTGCCTGCAGGCCCCACTGCTAACAAGGAAGTGTGCCCTTGCTATGCCAAATACAAGAAGGGCAGGTGCCCTTAGAACACACCTCTCTTCCTTTTCTTTCGTGGACTCCCATATGATCATCCCTTGTACAAACAATTTGTCATTAACTCTATTCATCTTCCTTCCTCTCAATAAAAAAATGCAAGTTTAAGCTTGCTTATTTACTTCTCTGCCTTTTTTTATCTTGTCAAATCTCAATTAATTTTAACCTTTCCCCCCTTTTATTTGAATAATTTAAAGGTCAATAAACAATGAATAAAACAATATATTTATCTTTTATTTGAATATTTAAAAATTAATAAATAAAAAAAGAAAATGAGATGTTTACATTCCCGAAATTACCTGTTGTTAAAAGGGAAAAAAGTTCCCTAAGGTGATGGGGAGGAGGAGCTAAGGAAGATGGTTCGAAGTTGGTTTTAATAACTCCTTGTCTACCCACAAATCTATTTCGTTCAATTTCAAGTGGAAAATCCAGATACAGGGCAACTGAAGTTGTCCTACCAACAACTAAATCATGGAAGATAAAAATCGTCGTTGCTTCCTCTTCGTCCTCTGGGTCTTTTAATCAAACAGTTGGTGCACAGGTTTTGCCAGAAAGAGAATGTCTTGAAAAACATGAAAACGAGAGAAAAGGCAAGAAAAGGGTATTCTTCCTGGAAGTTAATCCGCTTTGTTAGGCTGAAAATAAACCAAGCTTATAATATTCTGGTCACTGGGTTTCTTTTTTCTTCTCTCAAATCTGCCTCGCGGACCCTGTTATTGCCGTAAGATTTATTGTTCCAAACTTGACACAAATAGTATTGAACATGATACTCACGTACAACTTGACGAAACAAACTTGTTTTATGATTCAAAAAACAAGAAGCATAATAAATACATAGATTATCATAATGTTTGTATCAACGTTGGAGGTTTTAATTACTCACACAGTTGGTAGGACGATTGTAGTTTTCAATTTGTTCTGGGAAGGCAACGTAGTGATAATGCCACGACTTTAAATGTAGAAATATATTTATCTCCGGAAGAAGAACAAGTAAATTTATTTTTGAGAGATCAAGAGCTCTTACGATTCGAAGTCATTCATCCCTCGATTCCCACCAGAACAAAGCCAAATAAGGCCATAGACATATATGGCGAGGATGTTACCTCTATCGGTTGCTTGCTTCAGTAAATATAGACCAAAGCCCGAATTTTTTCCATTAAAAAAATTAAACATGCATTCTCTATATAAAGCTTCAGGATTGTTAGCATGAAGGCATCTTTGGTGAATCATCTTCTCGGGTTGAAATCATGACATGATGCTAATGTTTTTCATGGAAACTTTCTGGAAAATGTAATTTTGATCAGCAAATTCGTGAGAACTCTTGCAATTCAATTGCACATTGACGAAATCGAGGATAGATTTAGAAGTAGCAAATTCGTGAGAACTCTTGCAATTCAATTGCACATTGACGAAATCGAGGATAGATTTAGAAGTAACATGAAGTAGAATTTCTATTAAGACTTCTCTTGAAAATTTGACAATATTAATTTTTTTTGACATTTTGCTTTGAAACCGGTTTAGGAAACCTTCAAAAATGAGTCTCTATTTATAACAAGCCTCACACCCGTTCAAAAGTGAGGAGTCAATGGACCTCGCTTTTCCCAAGACTTGAGGTACCCATTGGAAAGGTGTGACACTTTAAATCGAATAAAATCCAACGGTTTAGAAGGAAGTCGCGTGATACATCCCGCTTTTCGTAAAATGTGTTGTCTTAATTAATGTAAAACCCCCACAAAATCAATAAATTTGTACCAAATATGGAGTTATTATTTTAAAACCCCGAAGCTAAAAAATGGGTTGAAATAAATTTTCATTGAGTAATCTGGGATGTTAAACGAAACATTTTTGAAAATGTTTGAGATTACAAGGCGTAGTTTTGCAACTTATATTTCAATTGAAACTGAAGTGAACACATATGAGAAATTGTAAACAGGGTATGATTTATGTAAATAACTTAAGCAATTTGTACATTTTAATTTTAGCGCACAGGAGAGGAAATGATAAATAGATGTTGCCTTCTATAATAAACGGATACCGTTGCGCCAGAGAAACGCAAAGGAAGACTTCATCATTTTTCTTCGTGCATTCGGTATTGAGCACAAAGGAAAAAACTTAGAAGCATTTCTCGAAGGGTGTTCGTTTGGACCTAATTCATGGAGGAAGAAGTTTTTAGAAAGGCACAAATGGAAATCTAGATGCCACTAGAAGAGGATGCATTAACATTATTCTTGGTACTGTCGGTACAAAATACAAAGGAAATCTATATCCCACCAAAAGATGATGCATTTTTTGAACTAGAATTTTTTAGCAGGTTTTATGGAGATGGTTTGGTTCGGTGGAATAAGAGGAATTTAAGTAGGCAATAATCAAGAATATCTGCTGCTGGGAGTCAGGAATCTCTCAACAACCTGCGTTGTGCAAAACACGAGGTACATGTCAAACCATCATGTCAAACCAGCTGTTGCCGCTTCAGGAGTATCAAGAACTCGTGCTTTGCAAAACATGAGTTTCCTACCACGTTAGGAATATTATTTGCAGGCCACCCATTGTGAAGAAGCAAACTACACACACAAAGTTAAAGTAAAGCAGATAATTGATCAACAGACTCAATCTCACTCGTAAGTTTATTTGATGTTTTTCAACTATTACATAGTTTTAAGGCATTGTCATTTTGTGCATATTTTGGCATTCTTTTTGCATGATCGTATATATTTTCATAACATGTCGAGGAAAGGAATTGTTACTGCTTTAGTATAATGATAGCAGAATGATATGCGATGAATCTCTTGGCATCGTCTTTCAGTCCGTACATACTATGACAATAACCTTGCCAAAGAAATTAATTCATAATAAGTTGATGAAAGAAGTCAATAATGTTGTTCCATATGGTCACGGGAAAAAATTAAGCATGTTGAAGTATCGACTATCTACGTCGCTAGAACCACTAACGTACTCAATATGCAATGTTGATGATGATGGTGATGGTGATGGTGATGTGGACATGATGATCGATTGCCACATGCAATATTCATTAGGAGGGCCATTTGAGCTGTATGTAACTTTCTCATATGACAATGATGCTATTGCTGTCCCAAATTGGAGACAGGTTGATTTTGACTTCAATCCTAGCGTCCATAGTTTGACAGCTAATTTACGTAATGACATAAACTTGTTGAGTGTTACAACTTGAAGGAATAACGTTGGTGAATCATCTTCTTCTATGCCAATGTGTTCTTCAATTACTAGCTTGGACTTTGACTTTAATCTGCATCCTAGAACGTACAATCCATATAGTAGTGGCATTGGTGCATCATCTTCTCAGTAGTAAATGAGGTTGTAAGAAGATGAAATGTTTAACCCATTCGAAGATTTGCCACCATCTATGGGGAGATATTCTTGTGTTGGTGCTATTGACTTTGATCTTTCTAGTACGGTTCATGAGTGGTCACGTGATCGGCGTATAGGTGTTACTCTTGTTGTCCTCATAGTTGACAATGATGAACTATTCAAGTTTATGAGGACACTTTCGATGAAGAACCATTAAGGGAGATCGACCCATATTGTGAAGAGGTAGGCCTCTTCAATGAAGAACAAGAGGACCTTAACATGCCAGAGAGAGTGAATGATGATGACATTCTACATGTCGTGCCTCATGTTTCTTAGTACCAGCTACCATCCCACTTCACAACAACTAAGATGGAACTTTAAACGCTATCGACTTTCTAGAATTCCCGCAGCTTGATCAATACAATGAACATGGTGATGGTGAGCACTATGCTGGAATGACATTCAGAACAAAAGAACTCATTGTATCTGCAATTAAGAACTACAATATACGCTACTCGATTTCGTTGGCTGTGAAAAAACATACGTAGACAAATTCATGGTTGAATGAGTCCACAAGTCCAACAGATGTAATTGGAGGGTTCGTGTACCACGCTTGAAGAGGTTGAACAACCTATGAATTCTAACAAAATACGAATAACCTCATACATTTACCGTTAGTAGGCTCACTCAGGATCATCTAAACTTAGATGTTAACGTGCTTTGTGATGCCTTTATACCATTGGTCAAAGTAAATTCACGTATTACAGTTTTTAGTTGTATTGCTGCAATCACATCTCAGTACGACTACAATGTTAACTACCATAAAATATGGTACGCTAGGTATTGTGCTTAGCAAAAAGTGTATGGCAAATGGAAAGAATCATACAAAGAGTTACGACCATGGCTGAAACTGATGAATAAATAAATATCGGGCACGATCGTCAAACTGAAAACTGTGTTGCATACGAAAACGAGCGTGTCATACAAGTTGTGTGTCAATTTCACAGGCTATTTTGGACATTTTCATAGTGTGTTAATGTATTTCGACACTATATTCCAATGGTTTAGATCGACGACACTTGGTTGTATGGCAGATACACACAAATAATGTCGTTGGTAGTGGCACATGACGGCAATAGGAAAACAATTCCCATCATATTCGCAATAGTCGAAAAGGAAGATATAGACTCTTGTGAATTCTTCTTTAAGTACTTGCACACATATGTTTTATCACATGTTTTGCGAGAGCGTCCTGCTGGGATATGTTTTATTTCTGAAAAAGGCCCAGGGATCATATATGCAATCGAGCGTATGAGATCATCTTGGAAGCCTCCCCATATTTATCACCGGTAATGTTTACGCCATATTACCGCAAATTATTTACATACATTTAGGAACGAAGATGGACTCGTAATGGTTCTTCAAATGAGTACGTCTTTCAATTTATTTGGATTCATATATCTTATCATTTACTATTTATAATTAACTGTTGCATTTTCAATGGGCAGGCCACTCACATTTCGCACGTGAGGTTAACGAGCTGTTTGAAGAACTGAGACACTTGAATCAAGAAGGCTACAACTACCTTGCTAAAATCCCGAGGGAGAAATGACTTCTGTCATTTGATGGAGGCAGACGATATGGTCACATGACAACGAACTTTGCTGAGGCAATCAATTCATCACTGAAGGGAGTGCGATATTTTCCTATCACTTTCGTTGTCAAAGCAACATATTATCGTTTGGCTACGATGGTTGCAACCTTAGGAAGAAAAACAACTGCGTGGATTGCAGGTTGTTACAGAATCCACCAGACCTCTATCAAAAATTGCAAACCTTTCTGCAG